CAATAAAGATAGTAAAGAAGAGAGAAATGTAAACGAGACATGTTAATACAGCTATGTGTACTATTTCTTTACTACAGTTTCTTATATTTCCATGGGTTCAACTTATACCTGTTTGTATTAAAATTGGTAAAGAAATCACTATACGGGCTTTTAACCAACAATACTTAGTAAACTTAAACTCCAAGAGGTGGAGGTTTAAGTTTCATTTTTCACGTGCCTTAGTATGACCCAATCGGTAATCGTTGGCCTCGAGCTGAATTTCCTCTAGGACCTTTTCCGTTGCATGTTTTGCGTCAACAAATGCTCCTTTGGGAACTGCATTTGGAGCCAAAATTGTATATCTGCAATAATAATGGTGGGACAAAAGGTCAATTTCTAAAAGACACGTAAAACAGCAACTAGAATTAGCAGCCACAGATCAAAACCTTTGAAACATAAAATCAACATATTAAACTTGAAAAATAACTATGAAAAATTATTATCTTATCGTAAACTATAAAGCAAAATGGTTGATGTCACTGTCTGATATGCAATCAAAGAAATACACATACATCACCATAATAAAGAAACTATGACACTTTTAACAAGTCTTTTATTCGAAACATGTAAACTATCATATTGTGACTTTGACTACACATAAAAATACTGATTTCATCACATTTATTAAGGTGCAGTTTCTTTGATGAATGATTGAATAATACTAAAAATCTGAATGGATCTGATTATCTAACTCCAGTAATTTATATTAACTTTTCATACACTTGCAATTGAAACGTGTAACAATACTGTGATGACAATATTTCAAGCCAATTTTTATGCAAAAAGTCTCGAATGATCAGAAATATATATTTTATTGAAATTATTTTAAAGATTTCATAAATACAATACTTTGATAAAGTACCGTATACTGAGCACATTCATATCAATTACTTAATACATTCAAACCGCATCACATTTCTGATATTACCTGTGTTTGAAGTCCGGATAGATCATCCTGTTGGGGAAGCCCTTCCTGCAGATACGGATACCTTCCAGTACACCATTACAAGTTAATTGGTGCATTACCAAGTGGGAATCGATCACACCTGGAGATTATAAAAGTAACAGGGTTTAACAGTAACATTTAAAAGCTTAACAGTTAATTTACTAGAACAATTTTAAACAAAACTATTTATATAAAAATGATTGTTTTCTTCAGTGTCTAATTATTTGAAGCTCTGCTTTTAATTGAAGTTCTAAACCGCTGGATTCGTACCTTACGGTTTTTATAAGAAGCTACTCTACATTGCAGGTAAACTGTGTAGATTCGGACCTTACTGCTTTTATTGGAAGCAAATCTATATAGCAGATTGCTGGAACCAACACTGTATAGCAGTGGCAATTTACAGTAAATTTACAGTGGATAAAAACAGTATGAAGTTGTAGAAAAAGACACTTGGTAAAAAAATAAATACTTTTTTTAACTTCTTACACATTTTACGTTGTTTATCTTTATAAAATACGTCATGGAAAAAAGTTCATCAAATTAAAAAACACAATTAATGATTTACATAAATGTACTTACAAAACCTCTGAAGCTCGCATGATGTCAGTGATTCGATATCCTTTCACTCAGGGTTAATTTACTCAAACTTTAAAGCACTTACCTGGGGCTTTCATTTCGTTAGGGATGATACAGCGTACAAAATGAGGTGAGGTACTCTTCAAGGTTGTCATTAACTTGTTCAATTGTTCCTACATGGAAATGTAAGCCCAGCACTTGGTTAGAAGGATAGCACCATTTTGAAGCAACTCGCGAGCGCTCGAGCATATACAAGCAAGTTATAGAAAAACATTGCGATAAGCTATAAACAAAGCAAATGTACAATAGTTAGAGTTCTAGAATATCTAATATACATTTCAGTTGAAAAGCTGAGTTTGTTAACGTATAAGTCTGTTTACATTACAGAGTTTGCTAACGTATAAGTCTGTTTACATTACTGAGTTTGTTAACGTATAAGCCTGTTTACACCACTGAGTTTGTTAACGCATAAGTCTGTTTACACTACTGAGTTTGTTAACGTATAAGTCTCTTTACACCACTGAGTTTGTTAACGCATAAGTCTATTTACACTACTGAGTTTATTAACGTATAAGTCTGTTTACACCACTGAGTTTGTTAACGCATAAGTCCGTTTACACTACTGAGTTTGTTAACGTATAAGTCCGTTTACACTATTGAGTTTGTTAACGTATAAGTCTGTTTACACTACTGAGTTTGTTAACGTATAAGACTGTTTACACCACTGAGTTTGTTAACGCAGAAGTCCATTTACACTACTGAGTTTGTTAACGCATAAGCTGTTTACACTACTTTTAGTGTGTGTCATTGTTTCTTTTCAAAACTTTCTTCAAGTTATTGTGTTATGCATATTTCAGGTTAGTATGAACTAAGCAGCCTTATTCGCAGTTGTTTGAGAAACTTCGACAATATTTTTATATGATGTTATTACTTCTCTGACATGGAAATCGGCTTATTGATTCAAGTTTACTTGAATGTTTTTATTAATCGAGATTAAAGGTTAATTGAGTACTTGTTATTAATAAAGGTTCAAAGTTAAATCAACATATGTTATTAATCAAGCTTCAATTTTAATTCAGTATTTATTAATTAGGCTTCAATTTCAATTCAGTATCTATTAATCAGGCTTCAAGGTTAATTCAGTATTTGTTATTAATCAGGCGTCAAGGCTAAATCAGTAAATGTTATTAATCAGGCTTCAAGGTTAATTCAGTATTTGTTATTAATCAGGCTTCAAGGTTAATTTAATGTTCGTTATTAATCAGTTATTTAAGAGGTGGAAATTAGAGTTATAAAAGATAAAAATGAATACCTTTTTTATACCAGGTAAACACGTTGGTCAAGAACAGTTATCAGTGTGGGATCTTACGAGCTTTTTGTAAGGAGGATCTCTGGTGTTTCACAACGGAACTTTATCTGTAACACGGTACCTGGTTCACGGAGAATGATATAACTCGTGTGATCCACGTGCCAAGAATTTGCCATAAATAATTTAACACGTAATAATAAATAATTTTTCGGGCTTCCTTGAAGAAATTACTTTTTTAGTTTGATTAGACTTTAGATGTAAAATAGCATTAGCGATTTTTTTTTTTGGTAAGTGGCACAGAAACAATGCTGCCGATGAACCTTAAAAACAGTTTATCTATTTGTGTATTGGAAAAAAGGAAATCTTAATAACTTTAACTTTTAGTAGGAAATAACAATAATTAAAAATTGAAATTCAATAATTTGAGAATATATTTTCACTTTTTGGCAAGTTCTTGGTCTGTGTTAACCATGCTTGGGATTACTTTCAAGTGTAAAGGATGTTATACTGTGGGGAGGATGATACCTGGAGACTTAGTTTCATTTGGAATGATGCATCGGACAAAATGGGGCTGAGTGGCTCGGAGGGTAGCCATCAGTTTGTTCAGTTGTTCCTGTGGGAGGAATGAAACTAAAGGATCAGGAAAGTTCATTGCAGGTGATAACAAATGTACTTCTTTACTGAAATTGTGTTTTGCACCTTACGCTCGAATTTTACGAATATAAAATAGATTTATACTTAACAGCTTAGTTGAAAAATGAAATTTTAATATAACACTTTGAATGTTTTATATAACTTACAAATCTGCTTATATTTGTTTGAATTTCGTAAGACTAGATGACCAAATTTGATAGTTGAAGTTGAGATCTAATACCGAGTTGGTAATTAAAATTCTCGTCTAAAAAATACGTGGCTTTGATTTATTTATAAGAACTTACTGAACATTAGTTATACAGCTATTGAACTAGCTCAATTTTATTAAAACTATTAATTTTAAAATATCTAAGAGTTTCACCTCTTCTATATATGTATTATTTATACTTTTACTGAAAAAATTAACTTACGTATTCCCACAACTAATACATAAATTAACTACTTCATTACCTTACGTATTCCAACAACTAATACATAAATGAAATACTTCATTACATTACGTATTCCAACAACTAATACATAAATTAACTACTTCATTACCTCACGTATTCCAACAATTAATACATAAATTAACTACTTCATTACCTTACGTATTCCAACAATTAATACATAAATTAACTACTTCATTACCTTAGGTATTCCAACAACTAATACATAAATTAACTACTTCATTACCTTACGTATTCCTACAACTAATACATAAATTAACTACTTCATTACCTTACGTATTCCAACAACTAATACATAAGTTAACTTCTTCATTACCTTACGTATTCCAACAATTAATACATAGATTAACTACTTCATTACCTTACGTATTCCAACAACTAATACATAAATTAAATACTTCATTACCTTACGTATTCCAACAACTAATGCATAAATTAAATACTTCATTACCTTACGTATTCCAACAACTAATACATAAATTAACTACTTCATTACCTTACGTAATCCAACAACTAATATATAAATTAACCACTTCATTACCTTACGTATTCCTACAACTAATGCATACCATATATAAGCCAGAACAATTAATACATACCCTATATAAGCCAGAAACAGTTTGGAAACCAGAACCCTTCTTACGTCCTGAAGAAAAAAAAAACGGTGATAAAAAGTGGTTTTCGTTATGAATTATCATCATAAAGTTATCTCTGATCTAAAAAACAACCTAACTATGAACAGAATTGTTCGCAATTTTATTATTCAGTACTTTAATACTGTTACGACAGCGGAAGTCACGTGACCCTGGTAACAGATAATGAGTTCTAGAAAAATCGGGGAACATCACGAATAATCCAGTATTTGCTAGGCGCCCTATATTCTTGTATATAAGTGCGCCAGACAATTAATCGGCATAGAATTGCAGACAGACAGAGACGAACAATTGAATCAAGCGCTGTGGTAAGTAAGTGCGTGAATCGTTCGTTGAGAATTATAGCGAGTGTTTAAGTGTGGAAATTGAGTGTATTGCAAAGTTGTATTGAGAAAGAATAAACTAGTTTTATTTAAGAAAGGACTTGTATCGCTGAAGTTCTTCGGAAATAATTTCTACGGAAAATTAAGAAACGAACACAGAGACGTAACAATACTTTTTGTGTAAAACAACTAATTCCATTTTCATACCAAATGATGCGAAGACTGAAAGAAACTGCCACTACTGCTAATTTTTTACATTTTATTATTAGCCGTATTAACCTGTACTTAAAATGGCATTGCGCTTCTTACAATACATAATTCAAACTTCGCTTATCACGATTACCAATTCTAGATTCAACTGATAGTTTTGTATAGCTTGTAATTTCCTTTAGATACGGTTAGAATTAAATGCCAACAGCTATCATTTACCTTTGCCACCGCCACCGCTTTGGTCTCCAGCTCCAAGGCCAGGATGATCCTCAAAGATCGCAGTTATGAGTGCATTCTGGGCATGTTTAAACTGATCAACAACAGTGTCATTCAAGGGATCCTTGTTCTTCTCAAGCCAATGGCTGAGGTTGTAAGGAACCTGAAAAAACAACAATTTTCAATCTACTACAAAACATATAATTTAGTCAACAGCACACACAACTATTAAGATTACATCTGTCGTTACCATCATAACGAAACATTAGCTGTTTCTTGTAACAAGTTATCACTGCCATATCTAGCCTAATTAACATAACCCATTGTTCAACTTTCGTTAGAATAATTCTGTAGCACTATAACAAGTATATTTGTTCTGTGAAAAACTAGTTAAAAATTATATTGTTTTCATGGTTGATTACAACTGATACAATCAAGATCAAAACATTTATCGTACATGACTATAGAAAATAATTCTGATATGTGGTTTCTGTAAAAGTCGTTTTTATCTTTTACCATTTATCTATATATATATATATATGTGTGTGTGTGTGTGTGTGTGTGACTCACCGTTCCGGCATAGTGGGCAATAGCGAAGTGAGCTTCACTTTGTCCAGGTTTAGGTGGTTTAGGCTTAGTGAAGTTGGGAGATTTGCCTAAGTGGTTGTTTTTCAACTTCTCTTCAAAGGACTTATCGGTAGCCTTGGGAAACATAGACTCTTCCTCAAGAATGGACAGGACACCCATGGGCTACGGGATAGAAGTCAGATGATTAATTTTCCGTGAAACGTGTATAACTCTTCTGATGAATATTTCTGCTACAAGTAGTACTCAAATAATTCTTTAGTATCAAAATAGGATTTAAACGATTCAGAATAGTAAATGGATGAAATGCCAACAATTAATTAATAAAAGTAAAATAATTTTTACCTTCTCGATTAGCTCAATACACGCTTGTAAATCAAGACCGAAGTCAATGAATTCCCAGTCAATGCCTTCCTTTTTGTACTCTTCTTGCTCCAACACGAACATATGGTGGTTGAAAAATTGTTGGAGTTTTTCATTCGTAAAGTTGATACACAGCTGTTCAAAACCATTGTGCTACAAAAACAAGAAATACGTGCGCTTTAGTAACCAATTCGGTAACTTGCAGAAAATTACTTTTTTAGTATCATTTACGAACCAATTATATCGTTAAAACAGTAGTTCTACTGCACAGTGGTATTTTAATTGAAATTCTATGAGATTCGTTAATGAACTACAAACTTATTTTTTCCAGTAAACAATTATTAAACATATAACGTCACGTGGGGCAAATTCTATTACACAAAGCTACACAGAGGGTTATCTGTGCTATACCTATCACTGGTATCGAAACCCGGTTTGAGCGTTATAAACCTTTAGATTTACCGCTGAGCTACTGGGAGCCGTATTACACGAGGACTCCAGACAATGGGTACTTTATAGAAATCATGCTCAACTACACTCTCAGTCGACTGTTGTAATGTTTGACTAAAAGCATTATATTTTTATCATAAAATTACTATATTTACAATATTTTTCAGAAGAAGTAAAACTGAGATTTTGTAGAATTCGGACCCACACTCGCTTAGCGGTTAAATGGTCAATTTGTTTTTGTTTTTTACGTATTAAAAATAATAAATATATCGTGGCTTACGTCAAAAATTTCAAAGCCAGCGATATCCAATACTCCAATAAAGTGTTGTCTTTTCTGCTTGGTGTCAAGGGTTTCGTTGACTTTCTTCACGAGCCACTTGAACAGCCTATCATATATAGCCTTGGCTATAGCACCAACGGAGTATGTACACTAGAAAGAAAAGAAATATAACAACTTTATAAAAGTTTATAATAACAATAGTGAAGTCACATTTCTAGATTCAATTTTGTTGATTTCTGTTCACAAATATCTAAGTTTGATCTTTTTGCTTTGTACGATAAGGAAGTGTCTTTTTCTACAGGTACAAGACAATTAGTTTTAATATTTATATTTTATAAAGACATCACATACTGTAATTTAATTTGGCTTCAAATAATGAAATATTATATTGGTTTGTAAAATACAGTGTAGGTGATGAGACTGGGTTTGTTTTAAATAGGTAGCTCTGACCATGGGCGCTCACAGAAGTATTTTCAGAGGGAGGGGGCAAAACATGTATGTAGGGGATCAGCTTTTATAGTGTAAGTCAACAGATTAAAATAATATGTGTTATGTGTGCTTAAACACAAATTTACAATTTTAGTAAAAATTACTAAGAAAATATTTTGTTTAACTACGATGTTAAGTTTACATAATAATACGTAGAATGTTTTGTGAAATGTAAGGGGAAGCAAATATCCTCTCTTGCCCCTTCCTGCGGGTGCCCATGGCCCTGACCATGGTCGATGTCATAAAATACAAACATATCTTGCCTGATCTTTATTTCTGCCCTGAGTGACCAGCTCGTTGCCAACCTTGATCTTGGGTTTCAAAAAGTTCTTGTACATGTCAGCGGGGTTTACGCCCAACAGATGACCAATCCGTTCACCTTCTTCCGTCCCATCGGCCTCAGCCTGCTCTTCTCGTGGTCTCTGTTTAAACTTCATCTCACCCATATGCATCACGGAACCAACAATCTTATAGATGTTATCTTTCTCTTCATCATTAAAGCCCAATACATCGAAGGCGTGCTGCATGTAAACACATAAGTGTAAAGACATTAAGTTATATTACTCTATTTTATAATTTCTAACTCCAATAAACGTAAGACGGCATCTTTAATTTTCTGTTATTCTTTCCACATTTAAGGGTAAATAGATCGAGTAAACGGTTAAGAATGTAATATAAATTCACACTCAAACACATAACCTGACGGTTTTATGTGTTGAAAAGACCTGTTTCCGTATTAAGTTAAAACTTCAATAGAAAATAAAACTTTAACATTTTAAATACTGATAACTATATTAAGAGTAAATAAATATGCAAAAGCCGACGTTTTTTTAGCAGAATGAAAGGTAAAATATGTATTATTAGTTACAGCCGACTAGTTTTTGTAACGCAGTTACCATCATCGTGGACACTAGCCCTGATGATGATAACTGTGTTACCGAAATTAGTCGGCTGTAAATACTAGTAAAGGTTTTACTTTTCATTTTGCCAAAAAAAAACAAAACACGTCGGTTTTGTGTTTTTTACTCTTAATGTAGTAGCACCGTACTTGTCAAAATTATACTAAAACCTAGACTTATACATTTACAAGTTTGGCGTTTACGATCAATTTGACTGTATAACTTTTTATTTACGATCAATTTGACTGTATAACTTTTTATTTATGATCAATTTGACTGTATAACTGTTTTATTTACGATCAAATTGGCTGTATAACTTTTTATTTACGATCAATTTGACTATATAATTGTTTTATTTACGATCAAATTAACTATATAACTGTTATATTTACGATTGATTTGACTGTGTAACTGTTATATTTACGATCAATTTGACTGTATAACTTTTTTATTTACGATCAAATTGACTATATAATTGTTTTATTTACGATCAAATTAACTATATAACTGTTATATTTACGATTGATTTGACTGTATAACTGTTATATTTACGATCAATTTGACTATATAATTGTTTTATTTACGATCAAATT